GAGCCTTCGGGTGTCTCTGCTGAATTCCTCAGGTGTTCAATGAGGTCTCTTTACTCTGGCTGGTAGAAACTCAGAAGTCTTCTGGTCCTACATGAGCTCTGGGAATTTTTCAACTTACAGGTCCCCAGTAATTGTTCTTTCCTTGGTAGTTGATCTTTGCCTGGCCTTGTGGAATATTACCCTGCTCAGCTTGGCAGTCAGCCAAAGACTCAAGATTTCTGGAAATCTCTGAGTAAATTCCTTCTTCTCTGGTATTCTGTCAAATAAATTTCACAAATTGGGTCTTTTTTGCTGACCACAGTATCCTTAGCAACTCATAGTGCCTACTTACCAAGTGGTAGGTGCTCAATAAAATATTTGTAAGAATATATGGATTTATAGATAGTATTCTCTTATATTTAAAATCCCCTTTGTATCTGAGTTTATTTCCTTTTTCATTCCTAACATCTTTCCCATTTAAAAATCTTTGCTATTTTTATTTTGCCATATTTATTTTATTAATTATTTCAAAGAACCAGCTCTTTCCTTTTTTCATCTGTTCTGTATTTCTGGATTTAATTCATTGCTTTCTACTTTTTTCCTCATTATTTCACTTACTTTTCCTTAAAACTTCATGTGTTTTTCTCACTTCAGAGGCAGTACAGTGTAGTGGCCAAAAGACTGAGTTTAAATCTTGGCTTTATCACTCACTAGCTTAGTGAAATTCAGCAAGACATGTAACCTCTCTGAACCTAGGTTCTTTATCTATAAAAAGAGAAGAATATTACCTACCTCACAGGTTTGTTGTGAACATTAAATGAGTTAATTTTTATAAAACATTTACAACAGTGCCTGACACATATTAAGTACTGCATAAATGATAGCTGTTAGGTAGACCATTTGGTATATTTTTATTTATTCTACACTGGTTAATTTTTAAACATCTGATCTGTGATTTTCCTCTATATACTACTTTTGCTGAATCCTTATGTTTCTATTTTTTTGTCCTCCTTGTCATTAATTTCTAAATAGTCTGTAAATCTGCAAATGTGGTTGTGATTTTCTCCTTGAATCTGAACTGTTTAAGAGATTTTCTTTTTAGCTTCCAAGTAGGTGGATTTCCTTTTATTTTTTTTACTAAAAAAACTAAAAAAAACCTTGTTTTTATTGCTCTGGTATCAGAGAGTGTAACTTAAAATTGACATTTTTCTGTGTAGTTATTTTAAAAATCAGTTTTTATAAATGTCTCATGGATATCAAAAAGTGCTTTCTCTATCTGCAGGTTAGAAAATATATCTATTAAATCTCATAGTTATTTAGGTCCTCTTCAAAATTATTGTCTATTGCCTGTCTGCAGATGTATCAAATACCGAGAATGCTACATAACCAAATATTCTACAGGCAAGGAGGGAGAAAGAGAATGAAATAAAGAGGAAGAAACAACAGAAGCCACAAGACTGTACTTTTTACATACATCATATATTTGTAAGTCGTGCTTATTCACAAGCTGGGTTTATTATCTAGAAGAATGCCACTACCAAAGGCACACTTGTCTTTAACTTATTGTCCACTACAAAGCCTTCCATCTTAGCTCCCAGTCTGCCTCCATGCTTTAACATGTCTAGAATTTTTGAAGTCCAGGCCCAAGCACCTCTAGGGTAAAATCTGGCACTCTATTTTATCCTGTTGTTATTCATTGATGGTTCCATGTTAACTTGGTTCTGTGGCTAGATTCTAAATTCCTCACGGGCTATAATATTTTGTACTTTCTCCTTCGCCCCAACCACTACCACAGTACTGAGTATATAGCTAAAATTCCATTAATCCTCAATGACCCTACTTATGAAGATATGACTTGAAGAATTCTAAAACTCAGTAAGCTAACCTATAAAATGATGATGGTAATTTACTGTTTAGGTAGTAAAATTAAAGTCTTTGTTATTTATACTGTAATATCTCTTGTGCGATATTTGGGGTTACTATTAAACACACTGATATGGTAATCTAGGGGAGGCCGACAAGACCAATGCTATACTTCTCTAGGGAACTGGAGTTCTGTCTTTAAGGGAGAGGTTGATTCCTACTATTAACTGGGATGGACAGGAAACCAGGCTTGTGAGAAGAGCCCTTATACATGCTAGTGGTTATCAATGAGATGGGGGAAGGGGGCACAATTTTACCCCCCAGGGGCACGTGGCAAAGTCTAGAGATGATATGGGTTGTTACAACTTGGGGTGGAGTACTACCGGCATGTAGTGGGTAGAAGCCAGGTATGCTGCTAAACATCCTATGAGGAACAGGACAGCTGCCCACAACAAAGAACTATCTGGCTCAAAATGTCAACAGTGCCAAGGTTCAGAAACCTTTAAGTAGGCAAGCAAAGGAACTCTCAGCTCTCTGTGCTCATGCCTGAACTTAAGAGTGAAGCTGTCTAGGAGCTATTCCTTGGTAAGACCAGTTAAAAATGGCCTCTGCCACAGGGAGGTGGCATCTCCGTAGGAAACAAAAGCGGAAAATGAGTAATTATATTTTGTACCTAAGATTATCTTTACATTATTGTTTTTAATATCCATTCAATTTTTCTTCCTACTAGAAAAGTATTTTTAAATACCCATCTAAATACCCTAAATAAATTTTAAATAAATAAATCTAAATAACTACCCTAAAGCATTTGTTATGTTCCAGTTTAAGTTGCACTGCTAAAGGAACCAAATTCAGTCTCTCCTCAGCTGTGCAGCAAAGTATTAAGGAAAGGGTTACATGCTTATACTTTGACGCCAAGTGGTAGTGACAACAAGTAGTTAAGAAATTCAAGGACAAAATGAATTCTCAGAAAATAGGGCTGCATAACCCATCCACTCTTCCCAAGAGTAAAATCTCCTTCAAGCATCAAACCTGGAGGTTCTGGGGTTATTCAATTAAGAAGAGTGACATATACTTCAGTCACAGGAGGAGTCTCTCAAACTACAAACTGAAAATACAAAACTCCTCATAACAATGTCAAGTGTCTACAGTGATTTTTCCATCTAAGTAGTGCTGAACTGTGTATAATTGGTAAAGGGTTCAAATTGACAATCCTTACACAAGAAATTTCTCACTTCACTAATTTATCCATCATTTGCTGAATAACACTGAGCTTTCAGTCAGTAGTCAAGAGTTAACAATCTAGTTGGTAGGACACAACACATAATTGTTAAACTTAGACAGTGAAGACAGTATTCAAAGACCAAATGAGCAACACCCCCTAAAAATGTATTAGAATAAAGCAAAGAACACTCTCAGCTGAAATAATTAGGAAAAGCTTCACAGAGATGAGACTTTTGAGCTAGGATGTGAAATATGAATAGGATTTAGATAAACAGAGAAGATAAAGAATTTCTGATGCAGTTTAGAAAGAGCTAAACCCAAAACGCCAGAATACAAAAAAGAAAGAGCAAGGGTCTAGGGGGGCAAAGATGTTGATGCTTTTTTCACCATCCTTTGAAATTACCTGATTATCCACAGCTTTGAATTCTTTAACTGCTTTTTCTTATAAATCTTCAGATTTTCTTCTTTGAATGGGATAGGCGGAGTAAATTAGAGGAATATATTTCAAGGCTGCTTAATAGTTTGATTAATCTTCAAGAAAATAACCTCACATCTGTGAGGTTATTTAATTGTTAAAACAATTAGGGTTTTCCAGCCCATGTTCTAGTTCCTATAACAGAAAACCGAATCAGTGTAATTAGCATATACACATTCAACCAAGCGAGTTACCTTTTTTTCCCTAACATACCGTGTTATATTAGTGACTGTATAAAGCTTTTCTACCTCAACAGAAATTACTATTAAGGCTTTTGCAAACTGCTGTTAACTCTGGGTGTGCTCAGGTTCTACCACTAATTTGCTCTGACTACATTTTCAATTTACATAATGGAATAAGCAGTTTATCTTCTTTCCTAGAACTTGTAGTGCTCTATTGTTCCCCTCACTCTATTTAAAACCTGCCGCATCCTCCTCTCCGTAGTCCTTGACTTTCCAAACGGCATAAACATTTGCTCAAAGAGAAAAAAAAAAAAAAAAAAAAAAGTCTTGTCATTGTAAAACAAACTAACTTTCCACAAAAAGCAACGTTTGCACATTTGGGATCTTTTGTAAGACTTAATGTATGGTAGGTTTCCTTTGAAGAACTCACGGTAACCCAGAGAAGATTCTTTAAGGTTGGGTGGTCTCATTCATTAATACTTTCCTCAAGTAGTTTGCCAAAGACGACAGCGTGTGCTCAGTAACATTTAACGGCTACAGCATCGTCACCCTGGCACTAAGACATAACTAGGGCACATAGCGAGTTCTAGTCTCAGCAGAGAGGCCGCCCGGTAACTTTCGAGTTCAATGCCCCCCAAGTGGCCCACGTGTGGTCTGCTCTACTTCTTGAGCCCAGGCATTAGCCAAACGCCCCTGGGCACCCGAGGCCCGCGGACATCCTCACGTGGCCTAGGGGTCGCCTAGCGAAATTCTCCGTGTCGAGGCGGTGGGCGGCCTCGAACTCCTGCCTGCTCACTGAAACCATGTACCTGCCAAGCCTGAAAATGCAGAACTCCCCACGGCCAGGAGCTCGCCTCCAAGTGCTCCCCGCGCCGCCGGGCTTCCGGCGGCGCCTCGCGCCCCACTCCCTCCAGCCCCAGGGCTGTCCCAACTCCCGCGCTCCAGACGGCCCGGGGGAGGCAGGGAGCGCAGCTGACTCCGCCGCCCCCAGCTGCAAGCCGGCCTCCGCCTCCAAGTCCCGGGAAGCCCTAAGGAGACATCGATGCCAGAGCCGAACCCGACGCACGAGCCTTTCGACGACCTTACGGACCCTCCTCTGGCACACGCCCCCGTCCAAGGCGGCTGCTCGGCCGTCTCGCGAGAGAGCGTCTGGCGGTACCTCCTTCCTTTCAGCTGTCTTTGTCTCCCCGCCCCCAGAATGATTGCGCGGCTTCCTCCGGAGGGCGGGAGCCTTGGACGTGGCGGAGCCGGGCCGGCCAGGGTGCCGGGCCTGGGGCGCTCTGCTTGGCCGCTTGGCAGGCTGGCCTTCCGCGCCGCCGTTAAACCCCCGACAGGTCCGGTGCCTTCCCAGGTAGACGGGCGCCGGCCCCAGTGACGCCGGGGCGGAGCAGCGGGCCGGACGGGAGGACCAGCGAGGCTCAGCTGGTGGGCGCCACACCTGCGGGGGGGCGGGGACGGGGGCGGGAAGGTGCGCACGCGCGCCGCGGGGCCGGCGGGCGGTGGCTCCTGGGACGTAGCGCAGCGGAGCTGGGCACGTTGGCTCGCGGTGGCGTAATCTCCCAGCCTGTCTGCGTCTCCTTTCCTCCGCCTCAGTTTGGGGCGGGTCAGGAGAATGGCCTCGGAGATGGAGTCCTCGCTGGAGGCGAGCTTTTCGTCCAGCGGTGCGGTGTCAGGAGCTTCCGTGTTTCTGCCTCCGGCTCGCTCCCGCATCTTCAAGATAATCGTGATCGGCGACTCTAATGTGGGCAAGACATGCCTGACCTACCGCTTCTGCGCCGGCCGCTTCCCGGACCGTACCGAGGCTACTATCGGGGTGGATTTCCGAGAACGAGCGGTGGAGATTGATGGGGAGCGCATCAAGGTGAGCGGATGGGGACTGTCAGGGAGCAAGGACGCCTCTGGATGACAAGTGTCCCAACTCCACCATGGGTTAATCGCTGGCTCTGTGCAAGGTGTGTGCTCCATCATTTCTCACGCTGATGTGGAGACTGGAGTTGGGAATTGGAAGGATTTGTATACAGCAAACTTCTAAGTCAGCGCTTCTCAAACTTTACTGTCATGCGATTTACCCGGGCATCTTGCTTTTTAAAAAAATGCAGTTTCAGATTGCGTAAGGTCCCAGATGCAGATGCAGATGCAGCTAGTCCATGGACCACACTTTGAGTAGCAAGAGTGTAGGGTGTATCCACTGACTCATTGGCAGTGTCTCTTGTGCTGGGAGTCAGTGAAGTAAGACCGAAGGAAAAACAGAGAAATTTCTCAAGCATGGAAAACTCATTTCATAAATATTATTTATTAAACCGTCATCTGAGTACTGCTCTAGGTATTGTGGAAGTAAAGCCTTCTTGCCTTTGAGGAAGTGCTTAGGTATTCTCTTGCATATGGTTTTGCTACGGTAGTTTCTGTATGACATTTTGTTGTTTAGAAAAATCTATTTTCTTGCAGAAATATTCTGTACATGATAGTTCCTACTTGGGTTGCCAGAAGCACATTCTTGGCGTCACCCTCTCCCAATTCTTCTTTATTTTTTTTGGTGAGATCAGCCCTGTGCTAACATCTGCCAATCCTCCTCTTTTTTTGCTGAGGAAGACTGGCTCTGGGCTAACATCTGTGCCCATCTTCCTCCACTTTATATGGAACGCCACCACAGCATGGCTTGCCAAGCAGTGCATTGGTGTGCGGCCGGGATCCTAACCGGCGAATCCTGGGCTGCTGCAGGGGAGCAGGCACACTTAACCGCTTGCGCCACCGGGCCGGCCCCTCCCAATTCTTCTTTAATTCTTATTGGTGGCTCCTGAGACTTGGGACATAGTAATAGTGGAGAAGGTAGTAGGCCCAAGACCAAAACTGGGGTTCTGAGGGGTTGGAATGGGGGCATTGGAAAATGAGGATCACTGATAGGGCTGAGGCCTCCTGATGGTGTAAACTTTAGACACACATCTCTATTCCAAACCACCACTAACTCCTCAGGCATCTGCTAATACCAGCCCTTAAAACATGCGGACCCGAGGAACTGTTCTGCCTTCCTTATACTGCGTTTACTTTTTTACTTTAAATTAAGGTGTTCATCTTGACCTCAGTCCCCCCTGGGGGGAAAAACAGCCTCACTGCTTCATTCCTATCCTCACATCCTTGAGGCAAGAACAATTTATTTTTTAGTTGCTTAACCACCACCCTACCCTCTATCTAAAAGGGCTTAAATGCTTATGATAGTAAAGGAGAAATAGGGTTGAAAAGAAATCAATCTTCTATAGTCCCTTTTGCCTTTTAATTTTCGTTTTAATTCTTCATTGTTCCACTCAAACTGCAATCGGTGGTCCTTTGGGTGCACTGTATTAGCGAGTTAAGAAACATTTATATACATTACAGAGGAAAAGATAGTATGAGAAGAGGCTGAATATTTTTCATCAGAGTTAGGTTAGGCCCAGGAACCTGTGGGTGAGGAAGATAATGCGGCTTCTGAGGTTTGAGAGGGAGTTTAGTTTGGGAGAAACAGGAATTCAGGGAGAAAGTGCATGGACTTTGGAGCCCAACTGACCTGGATCAAATCTGAACCTATGAAAGGGTAAGGATGGGCTATGTGTCTTTAGTAGGGTGACCAACATTTCCCGTGACTGTCCCAGTTTTAAAACTGGAAGTCCCACATCTCAGGAACCCCCTCAGTCTCAGGCCAACTGGGGTAGTTGGTTACTCTAGTCCTTAGGCAGTTTCCTTAATCTTTCAGAGTCTATTTTCTCTTCTGAAAAAATTGGGATAATAATACCATATCAGGCTGGTGTGAGGATTAGATGAGACCGTGTATGAAGCACCTGGTTCATAGCTGGTAATCGTAAGAACCCTGGTTGCTTAACATCATTATTCCCCTTTGGCACCATCAGTTCTGTGGCTGCGCAACTAGAGAGTGAAGCAGAGATAAAGTAGCGCATAGGCAGACAGCTGAAGGGGAGAGAAATTCCCCCCAAATGGGAGCAGGATGTTAAATAAGTAGAGGGAATGGAGGCAGAGGAGGAGTTGGGATTTGATGGCCATTTATCTGCTTCTGGGTTGCTATTTATACTTTAAGATCACAAATGGATCAGGTGCAAATTTAAGAGAGAGAACTTATATTGAAAAAAATATAAGACATGTCCAGTGTATAAAGTTGAATATTTAACTACTGGGATAAGTGCTGGCAGTGGTAAGTCAACCAGAACTCACAGGTGTGGTGGGAATCTGTGAGCACAGAGTTGATCCTTCTGGTTGAAAGGAGTAAGGAGGAAACATTTTTTCTGGGATCATTCACCCTGAGCTTTAGCATAGCCTGTTTTGTTGGTAGGGACATGGACACTGAGTTTCTTTTTCTTCTTTCTAAGGCCTTAGCCAATCACTTGTACCTCCAACTGTAAGACTTGAGAGAGATTTTTATTGTAGTTGAAAAGACTACAGAAATGTTCTGAGATTTCTATAGTACAAAGAAATATGGCTATATTGGAGATTTTTTTTAAAAACTTGATTTTTTTTAGTGTCTTTAAAAAAAAAACTGAAGTGATATTAGAAAAGCTTTATTCCCTGTGCTGCTTCTGCTCTTTTGATAAACCTCTAATACATCTTAAGTGCTGCTGAAATGTTTGTACTATGTTCAGATTTTTCTTTGGAAAATTATAAGCCTAATCTGAAATGACATTTCTTCTAATTTTTCATCTTAAAGTGAAAGCTGGACAGCTCTATGTTGCTTTACTAATAAAATGACATTTGAGACATTATTTTTATTTGATAAAAAATGAGATATTGTGTTAAATATTTTTAATTGTGGACTGGACATTTTTCAGAGAGCATGTCTTATAGCAGCAGTACCCTTTCAGAATCAGTTAAAATGTTTTATGAAATGTAATAAAGTCTATATTTCATCATCTGTTCCTAAGTACTATATATGTATGTATAGTTGAAAGAGGAAAATCTCATTTGCAGAATTTTGGAAGTTGAATAAAATTATAGAATTAATTCCTTAAATAAAAATACATTTGATTTTTAAATTGAGACTCCCTACTCTCATCCTTATGCTCCTTCCTTGTATGTGTATCCCCATCATAAGTAGCCATATTCCTTTCGTACAAGCATTTTTATAATGGCAACCAACACAATCATTAAAGCCTAGTGTTGCATTTAATCCATCCTCTCATTAGGGGTCAGCAGTTTCTATTGGAACATTGGGATAGCTTACTTATCATTTGTAGAGGTATGACATTTTGCTGTTTTAAATACAAGATGTTAATGTTAAACAAAGGAAAGTAATCAGATTCTCTCCCCTCATTGGTAAGTCAAATGTTTAATGAGTAATTGTAGGAAAGAAGACATTTTGTTAGTCACAAGAATTATGATACTGTGCAAAGGGTTGGCAAACTATGCTTGAGGGCCTAATACGGCCTGCTGCCTGTTTTTTTTTTCTTTTTTATTGAGGTCATAATAGTTTATAACATTGTGAAATTTCGGTTGTACATTATTATTTGTCAGTCACCATATAAATGTGCCCCTTCACCCCATGTGCCCACCCCCCTACCCCTTTCCCCCTGGTAACCACTAAACTGCTCTCTCTGTCCCTGTGTTAATCTTCCACAAACTAGTGAAATCATGTGGTGTTTGTCTTTCTCTGTCTGGCTCATTTAGCTTAACATAACACCCTCCAGGTCCATCCATGTTGTTGCAAATGGGACGATTTTGTCTTTTTTATGGCTGAGTAGTATTCCATTGTGTGTGTGTGTGTGTGTGTGTGTGTGTGT